TTGTATTGTGTTTTTATGGAAGTAAATGTATGCTGTTTAAAAACCTCGCGATTGCTGAACAAGAAAACGACACATTCGTAACTGATAACTTAAAAAGTATCCATTAAATACAACCATAAGGATGATGAGATGTGAGCAGACTCTGAACCTTAGGTGGCTTTCGAAATCGCGTTGACTCTTTTTGTAAATTAAAGGCAAAGCAAGGGCCTCGGTTGGTGTGGCAGAGAGTACTTGAACGCTCGGTATGGATAGTAAAGGTACTCGTCGGCTCCAGGCATATCTGAGGTTTCTAATTTCGCTCATATCCAAGGATTGTTGTGGTTGCATTACACTCCACAGCTTGCCATAAAAAAAATAACAGTAAATAAAAAGTTAAAAATTAAATAAATAGGCAAATAATGATTGAAATAAAAAGATGTTTACCGATTCAACCTACCGCTGGTAGCGGAGCGATGGCTCCGATGAGGAACGCAAGGGCGTCGGTGAGTGTGGTGATACTGATCGAGACAGCTGCGTGTCTCATCGACAGCTCTACACGATCAACGACGTCAAGATGACGAGGAGTGTCGTGCCACGCTGCCAACATCAGGAACGAGTCATCGATGCCAATCGCTGAAGGAAAACGTCGTTGAAGGGAAACAGAACATTCCAGACCAGTTCCCTTCTGTCTCTACTGAGTTTCTATTCCATTGTTCTCAACTATTTATGAGCGTTGTCCTATGACATAAGATTACGCTATCATCTGAACCACCAGCACCCCAATAAAATTTCGAGCGACTAGTATAGGCACTGGTGAACTTCGCTCATCTCCGGCACGCACCAAAGTGCTATAAGCGAGACAAAACTTATCACAATTCTGATGTGATGGCTTATTTTGTTATGGCTTTCTCTCTGCGAATGAATGACCATGGAACGCACGCTGGACTACCGTGACGCCGGTTTTTTCTTATCCGAGCTTCCACTGTGGAAATGTCAAACTACTCAGCTTGTACTCTTTTTAAGAGGCTAAATGTGAGCTATAGGTCACAATTCGACACCCACGGTGACTCTTTAGTTATGATGAAGTGCTAAAATATTAGGAGTAAGGGTGAGAGTAGAGAATATTAGAATATGGGAACCAGAGGCTGTAGCTTTTTTAAGCCTCTCTTACTTTCAGAGCCGTTGCTTGGAACAATATCATAGTGATGCGTCACCATACTGCCATTTATGATATTGTTACAGCATTATATTATAAATCTGGCATCATCTGTATTATCTGTTAACTTATTAACCGTCGAGTGACTCGAGTATGCACCAGTAAATCTGAGAAACTTTAACCATCTGGTCTGCAGTCTTCTTGCAGTACATTTGACATCCCGAAAAACCCAGTCCCTAACTATTCTTAACCATAAATCGTTGTTCATACGCATTATGTGTCCGACCCATCTTATCTTCGACTGTTCGTCGTACAGAACGGCATCTTTGATTTTTGATCGTTGACGTAGATCGGATCTTCGGACACCCCTCCACTTGTGTGACATGGAATACTGATAGCGTCGCCTTTTTGTGCTCCCTATGTGCTTTTAATAACGTTGAGTGATCTTCTATCCTTTTAACGCAACATTCAGGTTTCTGACGCATACGTTAATACAGATCGTGGAATCGTAGAGGTGAGTGCGGTGCCCGGCGTTCTTTGTTCAATTCACTAAATCCTTGATGCTCTTGAAAGCTCCCCAACTCGCTTACTTCGTAATGCTCAACCGTGGAAGTAAGCAGTTCATCATGTCATTTCCTGACCCAGATAGACGTAGTTGGACCACCGTTAAGCGTGAATAATGAATACGAAACCAATCCGTTCCTCATAAACATCATTTTTATGAGATTTAGTTGGAAAACAATCGTTACCCTGGCGTTATTGAGATCGGCAAGCATCTGCTCCGTCTGGCTAACTCTTGGTCTTATGAGAAACGTAATCATCAAGGCAAAGATAGGGTAGTTTCCGACCATCTATTTTCACTTCAATTTTTTCCCATTCTAATGCTCATATCCTGGAAGGTGACGCTACACAATTTCTGCAAGATGCTTTCGCCTTGCCTAACATTTCTTTTGAAGGCGGCGTTAATATCGCTGCAGAATCACTATATTGTAGGGGTTAAAATTTTACACAGCCCACGAAAAATCTTTATGTGGCAAGTAGAGACGCCCTGGTTGCCCCAGGCCTTCATGACTACTTCTATCTCAAATTAGTCAAAAGCTTTTCTTAAGTGCATGAAGGTAAGACAAAGAGATCTCTTGTACCATTGCGATACTTCAACGAGTCTAATTATCGCGTCGATGTGGTCCATGGTAGCAAATCCTTCAGAAACTCTGCTTGCTCACATGGCTTTCTTTCTCCTAATGTCCTGTCAATCCTATTTAAGACGACAGTTTGTAGACGACAGACAATATGCAGATTGGGCCATAGTTGCCGATATCATGGAGGTCACCCCTTTTGAACAATGCAGTCTTGCTTGTCTTAAAGTGAATAGGAGTGTTGCATTTTGAGAGGTAACGTGTGAAGAGCCGAGCCAGTGTGCTTACTACAACTGGCGGAAAGTTGTTCACGTGTTCAAATCCTAACCTGTGCGGACCTGGTGTTGTTCGATTCTTCAAAGACGAAATAGCACGTCGGATTTCGAGAGAACCGGTGGTACGATATACCTGTTTTCCTTTATTTCATACAGGCCAGGAGGACGTGGCTATTTAAGAGATCCATGTGGTAAATTTAAATGATTTTCTCCATAGCCATTCTGTAACTTCAACTCTTCTGTCTGCACATCGGAGTGCGATCATTTTGGTCTCGTAATTGGCGAAGCTTCGGTGGGCTTTGCGAATGCTTTTTCCAGCCTCTGTACTTTCTACCATAAACGCTGCTCTTTTTTCTTTAAGATCTCCTATTATGGCCTATGTGGACTGTTTTGTAAGTTCGGACGTGAATTGGCGGTTGCCTGGTGCTCCTGCGATTTCACGTTGGTATAGTAGCTCGAGCGTTTCTGGAGACAGACGTGTCTTGCTGAATAGCAAACTCTCAACTTTCTTAGCGCTGACGTAAATAAATAGATTGGACCGAAAGCATTCTTTCAGGCGTTATTAAGAACGCATCTTACCAACATCTGACTAATGAACTGAGTATGTCTCAGATTATGGTGACTTTGAGACTTCGCTTTCTAAATTTAGCGGTTTTTTCTCCTTCCGCAATAAGTTAAATCTTGGACGAGGAAACCGACGGTCTGGTACCGTGAAGGATTTTGGAACAATGGCTACATTGGCTGAGCAAAAGCTTCGATTTACTCTATGGCGTGGTCTATTTCGTCATGGTGCTCTCCATCAAGAGATTCCCACGTTCAGCGTTAAGAGTGGGCCTTCTGAAATTGCGAGTCACTATGAATATTCTGTTTTATTATGATAAATTCAGACAGCCGCTCACCTTTCCCCTTTCTTTCTAATCCGTAGGTCTCAGTTTGGCGTTCTTCAGACTTTCTTCCACATGGAATCTTAGGGTTAAAATCTCCATTGATGACCTTGAAGAATGTGTGGTCTTCTCTGTAGAAATTCTTCATGTCCATATAGTACGCTTCCACTTCTTTTTGGTCATACTTTGATGTCGGCCTGTAACGACGAAGACCTTCAAAGTCGGCGTTGATCCACATCTTTTCAGCAATGAAAGTTTGATTCGTGCTGTTAGTTGTTCTAATTAATCGACGTTTACGCACAAACTCCTGTTAACGAGAACTCTGATGCCACTTCTCCTCTTTTGCCGCATATTTGAAGAAATAGTTCACCTCTGGTGTCAAAGACGGCGAAGTGATGGCGACTTCTCGTCTCGACCAGTCCGATGACGTCGTACCTTATCCTTCCTGCTTGCATGATCAAGTCCTTTATCGTGGACTCAGGCGCAAGTGTGCGTGCATTGTAGGCACAGACCGTCACCTTAGTCCTTCACCATTTCGGAAACGTAGAATGGCCTTGAGATTTTACCAGACTGTCAGTACTCGACCTACACAACGCTGCCGAATCGGGGGCTGTGGACGTACTCGTGGACGTGCCGCATTGCTTCGCGACTAAACAGCATGAGTTTTCGGTGTGAGCGAGATCCGTGCATTGAACTTGGCAGACCAGCTGATTTTAAAGTCAATTTAATATAATTTGATAAAGAATCGTGCTCCGGTATCTTTTTGATAGTTATACTAATCTCAAGAGCTCTCTTTAGATTTTTCTCCAGCAACATTCGATACAGGTCAAAGGTCAGATTTCTGTGACCAGAGGTGTTAATGTTATGCGATCGTTCTCAGCTGAGTTAACCGTAATAGATGAAAATTGCTTACTGAGACTTAAGAACGGCATTACAGTACACATATCGACGAATGTCACATTTAGTAATAGAAGGAGTCCAGTTGATGAGACAATAGCCATCAGTGCTGATATCACACCGATGATACCCATCAGCGGCTTACTGAGCACCTGAAATCAGATTTTATTCAAGAGTTAGAAAAACAAGCTTCCTATCTGTCTGTCTTCTCCATCGTTTTATTTTAGAGATATGCCTCTATCCATCAGATCTTCAAAGCGCTTGAAATCTCGAATATCTCCGATAACAACGTTTACTTTTTATTTTCTGCCTTCTATAAATTTTATGGCAGGGTATTAAGCGAAACACAACCACAAAATCGCTAAGATATTTGAAAAACTCCAGACCACAGGTGTCTGTGGTGGGGAACGAACGCGCTATTGTCCTTTCCGGGGAGTAATGCGTTCACCACCACATCTTGCGGGTGCTTCGTTTCGCCTATCTCTCAGCTAGTTCTATCGATCTTTTTGCCACAGCAATCACCCGTAAACGGGATTGATCTGGGGGGCTCACATCGGCATTGTACCCAATTAAGCTGGAGCTTATCTCCGATAACACCTTTAACGACCGTTTTTCTTTATGATTATTTCCATGTAGTCTCATTTGCACCGAAACTCCGAATACTGTTGAATCGCTTATAAATTATATTCGAACCCCTATTTTAAAAGCATGGCACCGATTAAATAGGCCGTCGTTAGTCTTAAATGAAACACGTGTACCCTGTGAAATTTGTACTAACCATAATGCTGTTTAGCAGTTAGCAGCAGCACAGTACAATTCTCACTGGTTCCTGTTTCAAGCACGGGTTATCTATTTGATTCAGAAGTTATCACAAGCACCACACTTTTCCTACGGAACCCTTAAATTTTACTGCATTTGGGGTAGTAGATATCAACGGGTAGAGCGCGAAGAATTTCTAGCTTATTTTCTCAAGGTGACCTAGTACCTTCCAAGTATAATCCTGTCGAATAATAGGCTCCAGATTTCTAACGTGAGAGAGACCCGTTGTTTTTTATGATATGGCGAAGGGAAAAAATAAGTAGGCACAAAGAAATATTTTAAAAAATCGTAGTAGGTGAACATTTTACCCAGTCAATGACGGGAAGCTTTAATTTGGCATCTGGAGAAAATGTCAGGAATCCGGTTGGTAGTGTGATCCATTTCAGGTTGAACGTGCATAAAATCGAGAACAGAATGAGAAAAGAGAACGTGATCGAAAACCTACAAAAAGCGGAAAATTTCAAAAACTAAACAGAAAGAAGCAGAAATCATAAATAAAACTGATCTGAAGACTTTTACATTGGGGTGATCCTTTTGCTCTCATTGGCTAACTCTTGTTCAAATGTGTCAGAATGAAAGTGGAGAATGTTAAGCAATGGACCCGGCACCGCATCTGACTCGATAGATCGAACTACGGATTTTTCAAAATCGCTTAAATAAACATACAGTGAAGAAAAACAGATTCTGGAAATATTAGAAAATAAAGAAATCTCAACATCAAAGTAGTGAACAAATAAAGTTTACGAAACTTTATGCAACTATCTATAGCATTCATTTAACACAAAAATCGAAAGTTTAAACATGAACAACAGCCCAGTTTGAAAACAGTTCCAGTTGGCGACCATACTGATGAGACGGGTGTAGCTCAATGGTGAGAGGCACCTTGCAAGAAAGACGGTTCATTTGAGACTAAGTCTCTCCCTACGAACCATTGTAACCCTTCACTATCAAAAAATTTGTATCAACTTCTCTTTGAGGACAAAAAAAAAACACCAATTTTATATGTTGGTAGGCCCACACAAGTGATTTAGACAAAACTTTGCACTTGATCACCTCTACCTCTCTACGAATGAGGTGGAATGCATGGCACAACCTTGAGAAATTAATCAACGCTGAAGGATTTATCTCCATTTTACCGTGTGTCCACCCAAAGTTGTCACAAAGCGAATTAAAGACTGCATACTACAATACTCACCCGCTAAGCTTTTCCATTTCAGAATCGTGGTGTTTCAGTTGAAAGAGCACCAGCCAAGCTTTTGCCGATTGAACGCGATCGCCGTCAAGCGTCACGCCTCCGAGAGTTCGTGAGACTTCTATCGGTTCGGTAGCGAATCGAGTACGATAACTTGGATAAGTGATGTTGAATTTTGCCTACAATAGCAATTTCAATCAAAAGTAACCACTGACGATGACAGTTGACCATACAGTGGCAGTTATCAAACCTGATCATTCCTGGCGAAGATGTCAGCAATGAGCATTGCCTGAACGTTTGAGAAACATTCGTTCTGCAACGAATGCTATGGGTAAAAGCACTTAAAAATTTTGGCCTTTTTTGTTTTTAGTCCACATTTATTTCTGTGAGCGGCCTACATAAATTGTGAGAAACTAGAATTTTTCCATTCCACTTGTGGTCTTGTATCGAATAACCAAACATCTTTAGATTTGTCCATAGGTTCGGATACCACTTGAAGATTTTGTACTCCTTCATAAAAGTGGTTGAATGTCGGGATTGTTGCTGGAATCTTAGAGTAGTTGTGCTAGAACATCCCCAAGTTTTCACAAGATGGAATTGCCTGCCTTTATGGATAAAAGGATAAAGGAGAAAGCTCTTGGAGTTCATCAATCCCTTAAGGATGGGTCATGCATTCGACTTCATCAATCATCGTTAAAGGTAACTGGATGCATATATGGTCTATGAAATGACTCACAGATTTTCAATTTAGTAACTTGCATTAAATTATAAGTATTTAAAACTATTGTTTAGAAAGCTGACCTGAAAATGAAGGCAAATGTTTCTGTAAGAGAAACGCTCTCCTTTCGATGACATAAACCGAGCTGTTGTCACCCAATTAAGAACCTAAACCTAATTTTGTAAATAAGTTTACGACAGATTTCGTATATCATCTTCCATTTCCTCCTTTTCTTCTAATTCTTCCTTCTCCCTATGCTTTCACTCTTTTCTTACTGTTGTTTTCTGTTCTCTTTTTCCCTTTCATCGAGGAGGCATACTGTTCTAGGAAAGGAAATGTAGTTAAAAGGACGGAAGTTGTAATAGTAAATATCGACACTTCTAGAGAGACTATAACAATGAGACCTGTAAAAATTGTATGGCGTGATCGCTCCTGAGCACATTGCCTTTGTCTTTTGCTTCAACGATCAAATACAGTCCTCTTCGTCGAAGAACGTCTTTCCCTACAACCATTTATATTGTCATAAAAACTCATTTTCGTCAGTTTTATTTTCTTGGTTAACTCCTTTTTCAAATGTGACTGAAGTAAAAAAAATTATCTGGATTTTTCCAACATTGTTATCGACTCCTGTTTGAGTAGTTTTGTTAACAAAAAAGCCGGGGCGGCAGCACAGTGGAAGGGGTGCCGATCATTACGAGTATGGTACTGGTTCGATCTCGTCCCAGGCTCACTAAGCCTCTCATTCCACCAGGTTTGGAAAATTGGTGTCAGACGTGCCCGAAGAAAATCGCTCTCTGCAACTTAAGTGGGAACGCTCTAACCTGGCTATTCCAGGACTCCGGTACAGCCGACTCGACCAGCGTTGTACGACATTCAATATAGACGGAAATTTTCAAGCACCAGCCGAAGCCACACGTAAAGGTTGAAAGACCTTCGTGGATGGCTGACTCGAGGAAACGAATCGAATATGAGAAGTGCTGAGATCAGCATAATAGACGTGAAAACGGGTTGTATAAAAAAAGCCCTTGTTAACATTCAGTTCGTGATTATTGTCTTAGCGAGCGGCTGTTGCTTTTAATACAGTCTAGACGTTTTTATTAATATGTATTCTTTCTTGATAAGCTTGCACGAGGTTGATAAATATATTTATTTTCGGCTAACGTTTCGACGTGATTAGTCACACCGAGGTTTAGAGAAAGTCGGTTTCGAAATATTATAACTACGTTTTTATTAATGTTTACAAGCAATTTCTTTGTTGCTGGCGTAGTTCTTTATTGATTTAAACAACCGCACTTTCACATCTACTGCATGGATTCAAGTGCCTCTCGCATTCGATTCGTTTTCTCGAAGCCAACATCTACAACGATCTTCGAACACTTCGCGAGTGGGTTCGGCTGCTGCTTGACTGTCATTCTTTTGCCATGAATGTCCTTGAATGCTGGTTGAGTCGACCCCCCCTTATAGCCCTGAGACAGGCGGCGTAGAGTGTTACCACCTAGATTACAATGAGTGAACTTTCCTCAGAGAAGTCTGGTGCAAATTTTTCGCCCTGGAAGAATGAGATTCCTAGTAAACTCGGAATAAGGTCGAGCCAGCACCTTAAGTGTTATAATCACTATCACTACCACTGTGGTACCAGCTATTCATTGCTATTGTGAGGTATCATTTCTTAAAATTATTTGTAAAACAACGAATTCCTAGAACTGTCCATAAAGCAAGGACAATTTGGATATTATATGTAACTGTGTAAGTAAACCACCAACTAAAATAATATGTGCTTTTCAAACGGTGTTTTATAACAAGGTCGAAATTTAGCAAGCAGTATCAAAAATATCGTGGTGCAATGGATGCATGTTGGGAACAAAATGGACGAAGAGCATTGCACCCAATGCATTTCGTTCTTAGTAGTTTATAGATCTACAAGTTCTTTTGAACTTCAGAAATATTAATGAATGATGTTCACCATAGAAGAATAGGGCGTTCTTTTCATTTCTGGAGGTGAAATTCGTCGAAATGTCCAGCAACGCTCTTTAATATCTTTCTCTTCTTGTTTTCCTTCTTTTATTGTTTTTTACACTCTGGCGATTTTCTTTGGTTATTTTTTGCTCTAACAGTTCCAAACTTTACTTTCTGATGTTCACTACTTACCTGGGTAGAAGTGATCATCGTCGGCGGCCCAATTTTCTCCAAACACTGCCTCTTCAGACTTCCATCGAGCATTTAATGGAGAATACAGGTAGTGAACTCCACGAACTATTTGAAGTCGTAAAATTATACCAGATGAGAGGATAACGGTCAAAAAACATGGAAGGATGATAAACGGCCACGGATGTCTGGAATAAAATTCCTTTTTGACTCAGTAATTATCAAATAGAGATGTGTGAGACGTAGTCATTAGAAATTTCGTTCAATGATACGTGCAAGGCTCTGGGTTGGATTTCACCACAAGTTAACCAAGATTCTCGATCGTTAAATTGTTACTAGACGAGTCTAGGCAGGGGTTTCTTCGATCCCCAATAAGGGCGTGGTGAAAATATAAGAAGTTATTTCCAATCAAGTAAAAACAGGAGCCAAATTTCAACTGTGGAGTAACCATGTCTTCCCAAATTACTGAGGCACATTGCTTGATTACATGAAAAGAAATCGAGTTAAGTGATGTTCACGCTACATTGCCTTACAGTAATCCCAGCCAACGCCTAGATTCGAAGCAAAAATAAAAAAACGCTTGAGTAATATAGCTTTAATGATGAATAAATGAACAGAAAATCATTCACCTTGCAACAAAAACACAGTACTTCGCCACAAGATTAGCCCATGGTCGTTCTAACGGTGCCCATTTGATCTTCATCATCCCGAAAATCAATCAATATCTACTGCTGCGTATATCCTCACGATGAACCACGGATATTAATATCTTTGTCCTGAAATCAATATGAATATGGTGCTTTTACGTTTAAACCGACAGAAATGTAGATAATTCAATTCCTAACTGTCACATTTATGCTGAAAAACCATAAAAACCGGTGCCAGGAGCGGAATATAGGCAAAGGGGGACGGACCTAGTAGATCCCTCAATTGTTACCTCTACATCAAACAAAAGCAAAAAAGTGCTTTTGGTTTCTAACTAAGATTTAAAAAGTAAAAAATTCTAGTTAAATGAGACATTTCGGAAATAAATAAAAGCATTGTTAATACTGTAACAGTTTGAGGATGAGAAGTGCTGTCCTCCTAGCGGGATATTTGCGAATCGTGTGGTACATGACGACGGAGAACAACGTTCGGAGCATTGAAATTCTCCGAAAATGTTTACTTTACATCCGGGATCCGCAAATTTTTCATCTATGTTTAAAAAATTATAATTCTCACGAATGGAACAAATACAAAGGCAAATACAATTACGCATAAGTCATCCTCAACCACTTGACCACAACGAATGTTGCCGACCCAGATGGCTTGCCAAGTAAAGTGCGTTTCTTGGTTTTCATCTGACAGTTGGTTTACTGTTTTTTTATGGAATGGTAGCTCTTCTCCTTTCTATAACGTTGCTGAGCACGCACAAACTTATAACATGAGCCAGAACTGATGATTACGACTAGTAATCGATTCATGAGTTATCGATGACAGAAACTCCATTTTAAAAGGTACGGAAAATAGTTTAGAAAAAAATTGGGAACAAAGGTGTGATTGCTAGAAATGGGTTACAAGACATATGATCACGTCGTTAGGTTCAGCATAGCAGGTCTACTTACTTTGCTGTTTTGTCTAGGATAAAAGTGCCAGCTAAATTATTAGTGGTTATGAGATTTAAAGTAAAAGTTCGCCCGTACCTTTTTGTTTTCGTAGCTCTTTCTAATTAATACGAAGTGTTTGCAAAAATTTGTAACATTAACAAAAGAAGAAATGTTAGTGAACTCTTAGGAGTGAACGGAGTCAAGTGGTTGACCTCAGTCATCCTAGTTGATGGAACAATTACCCCTTCGTCAGCCATTTTTCCTTTCGTTCAAAGATCGTCGAACGAGATTTTCCACGAACTCTAAACGACTATCCGGAATCCGAAGAGAAAACCAGAGGTGATTAAGGTTGCGTTGGTGACAATGTGATAGAATCGAAGTCCGCCAACATCTGAGAGGAATTTCAACAAGAGTGCCAATTCATTACCAAAACAATTCACTTTCCTTTCATTGAGATGTAAGAATCGGCATCTGTAAATCTTTTATAATTTGAGAAATTTTCAACTAAGGACTATAGAAGGGACAGGAAGTGATGGATGCGACTACAAATAGTTAGAGATGCAATAAATGTGGTGACCTTGTAGTTAACACTGGAGAGTTCCAGTAACAAATTCACGTAGGATATTACAACTGTTTACAACTTTAATAAGAAACATGTATGCCTGCTTGGTCGCTGAGATTCTCTAAGCGTCGTAGGTTCTTGGTTAATAAGACCTTCTAAGTTACCTGGTTCTTCATCACATTCATTTTCAAGGCGACGCCAGTTGTTCAGTGGTGGTAAAATCTACCTCATATATCGTAGGAAACCAAAGTAAAAGTGAAAAGCGGTAAACTTTGGTGGCAAGTTCAAACTCGCCTGATTTGTCGACGATGAGATCTCTGGTCGAAATTGTTGAAGTCGAACTAAAATGGGTCTAAGACGGACATAATTACATCGCCGTGACATGAATTTGTCCCTCATTCGACCCGGTTACGGTGGATAGCAAGGTATCTTCGATAACCCTGAATTCAGAAAAAAATAATGCTCGAAAAGATTGAACGAGAGGGGGTAATTGAAACAGATTACGAAGACCAACGGTCACAAAAAGACTGATAAGATGATAAACTTCATGGGCATAAGCAGACTGATAACAAGGGCAAACATTTTTATAGCACAGTGTTGTTTTGTCATAAAATAGTTTTATTCAAGTATTATTGTTAATGATTTGAAAGACCAATTTTAGATTTAAATTCCAAATGTAGACGACCCACGACCCCGATGGCAGTGATAGCGCCCCTCAAGCGGACGGCACGGCCAACCCAGACTCTGATTCATCCCTGCACCAAGTCAACTAAGCTTTTCACCCGTCTGGAGTCAGAACATTGGTACCAGGGTGATCTGAGATAAGCTGACTCCTCCTGTCAAACTGGAAACGCTCTACTACGGCGATCTCAGGAATTTATCTATATGATCTTATAAACTGATCTTAAGCTGATGCGAGGTTGGTACAGGTCTTCGTTGTCGTTGTTGTTGATGTTGCTGGTCGATGGCTGACGTTTCGGCGACTTCGCCTTCCTCAGTGCCTAGACGTATTTTATATTAGAATATTTTTATTATTCGGTGGAAAAAAGGGTAAAGTATTAATAAAGACCAAACTTTCAAATAGATGCCATATTGAACAGAAATGTTACACTCACCGGGATGTTACGTGTGGGACTGGCCCACACGTAGTTCACGTGGGGTCGCGAGCAAGACACACCCCGGGGTCAAAATATCATTTTAGAGTAGGGCGCCAGGCCACGCGTGATAGTGAGGCATTCGTCTTTCCGGTTCATCTTTGGATTTTTGAAATTTATCCAAAATGCCCCAAGAGTTTTGCGCGTTGCTGTTTTTGATTACTGCGCTAGGATCCGCACAGTCACTTTAAAATCATCGCCGTTGTGCTTTTGTGCCCTATGCGTGCCTAGAGGAGTGTTTAGACGGGTTTTAACTTTTCCATCTAGGTGTTCTTTTATGCGGGCACAAAGTGGTCTACCCGTTTCCCCAATATATTCCTCGTCGCATGCGTTACATGAGATCAAGTATATTATACCTAAACTCATGCAATCCCCGTCTCTCTCTCGTTAGGACAGACCATACAGTTTTCTGAGCTGCACTTACGATCATAGAGACAGTTTCGGACTAACTGACGGCGTAGGGTATTGGGTGGGAGGTCAATAATCGGTACAAAATTTTCAAGACCACTTTTTCTTAAGCACTTTTTAATGACTTGACTTACTTCATTTCTCGACTGAAAAACGAACGTCCGATTTGCCCTGTCCTTTACTTGCTTATTAAAGCACATAAGCATACTTCAACTGATGATATTACATCAACGAACCCATCATCATATAAAGTTAGACCTATGATCAGTTGCGTAGGCGGGCCAACGGATAGAATAACGTGGTTTCTAAACCTTATCCTAACCCAGCTGCTAAAATTCATTCCAACCCATCTACCTAACACCAAAATATTTCTAGACCACCTACGGCGCGCGAAACCAACCAGCACGCATGTAATGGAGTCATTCATGTTACGTCACTTTATACCAACGTGTCCAATGACTCCGCAATGCAAGCCATTCTCGAGGTGCTCGTAGAGCATGAAAAGAAAATAAAAAGGCACGGCTTGACGATTAAGCAACTAATGACTCTATTAAAACAGTGTCTTAGTTGTTCATTTTTTAGGTGGCCTGGAAAATATTTTGCACAAATTAGAGGGTTTGCCATGGGGCAGCGTTTAGCACCAAGCTTTGCCATCGCTTTCATGTCTAAGGTGGAACTCCAGTTTTCGACCACTGACCCTTACTCCACTGTCGATATATAGACGACTGCTTCATCGTCTGTTCCACACAAGAACAGATGGATGAGTGCTTTGAATTATTAAACCGACAGTCAGAGTATATAAAATTTACACGAGAAAACCTACCGAGAACTGGCTTTCATTCTTAAACATCCAAATAAAGCTCTCAGTAAGTGGCTATGTAACAAAATGGCATCGCAAGCCAAGTAGTAAAAACATTCTAGTTCACTACCACTCCTCTCATCTTTCACACGTGAAAAAAAGCACTTATCAAGAACATGTACCGTACGGCTAAAAATGTGTGTACAGGAGAAGAGGAAAGGAAGGAATCGCGAAACCTCGCACGAAAAATTACCATTTCCAATGGCTACGAAGTAGAAGCCACTCGGGTTAGACAAAAACTTAGGGTAGTTTCCCAAAATAATGTTTCGGACCTAAGTAAGATTCCTTTTAAGTTGCTCTTCATATTGAATGAAGTAAGTTGCGCCATTAAAAGATGCTTAAGAAAAAGTGGTCTTGAAAATTATGTAACGATTATTGACATCCCACCCAATGCCCTACGCCATCAATTAGTTCGCAACCGTCTCTATGATCGTTTGTGCAGCTCCAAAAACTGTATGATCTGTCCTAACGGGAGAGACGGGGATTGCATGAGTTTAGGTATAATATACTTGATCTCATGTAATGCATGCGGCGAGGAATATATCGGGGAAACGGGTAGACCACTTTGTGTCCGAATAAAAGAACATGTAGATGGGAAAGTTAAAACCCGTCTAAACACTCCTCTAGGTACGCATAGGGCACAAAAGCACAACGGCGATGATTTTCAAGTGAATGTGCGGATCCTAGCGCAGGAATCAAAAACATCAGCGCGCTAAACTCTTGAGGCGTTTTGGATAAATTTCAAAAATCCAAAGATGAACCGGAAAGACGAATGCCTCACTATCACGCGTGGCCTGGCGCCCTATTTCAAAATGATATTTTGACCCCGGGGTGTATCCTGCTCGCAACCCCACGTGAACTACGTGTGGGCCAGTGC